TTAAACTACTCAGAGTTATACCAAATTTTGCATGCAAGTCTTAAATGACATTACAGAAATATTCCCGACCTCAAAATTCCGTTTGGACCTCGGTATCACCAAAACCCGCTCCAAACCAAATTTAAAGAACTTCTAAAACCTTCAAGAACCAACCTTCACTATTAGGCGCCGCAATGCTCCCGGGTCATCCAAAACCCGATCCGAACATACGCCCAAGTCCGAAATAATCATACGAACCTATTAGAATCGTCAAATCCCAATTCCGAGATAGTTAACTCAAAATGTTGCCCGAAGTCAAACTTGGCCTTTTATGCCTACCTTAAGGAACCAAGTGTTCCGATTTCAACCCGAATTCTTTCAACTTCCGAACTAACCATCCCCGCAAGTAATAAATCAGTAAAAGCAAGTATGTGAAGTCGTATTTGGGGGAATGAAGTTCTAGAAAGCAAAACAACCGGTCGGGTCGTTACAAAGAGAATCTTTTATCAAAGTTTATTCTCACAAAATGAATATCACATGCCTCATATCATTATCTCTTTTTTTATTTATATGAGATATATTTGTAGTAAACCCTAATAGTACTAGTGCAGAGAATATCCACTAGAACATTCTCTTTAATATCCTATTTCGATAACTGGCCGTTACAGCTTCATCAACGGTGCTCGACTTCGTCCGTTATTGACATCTCGACCTCAGCTCTCGTCGACTCTTCGACTATGAGTCTCGCTTCTTCCTGATCCACCTCGACTAATGAGAATTCTTTCTTTAATGTTATTTTATCTTAAATATTCTAGGGGCAGATTTTGACCCATACAAATATCTAGACCGAAAAACAAAAGAACCAAAACGCACTTTATACAGGGAACAAAACAAATCCTCTAATTCCCTTTCTTTATCGCTTCCCACATGCTGCAGGAACATCACTAAGAGTAGTGAGTTGTTTACTGAGAGACAAAAGACCTGAGTTTTTGTCTTATGTGTGACGAAGGTGATTTATTGAGCTTAGTTTTGGTAACCCTTTTTCTATACTACTCATTTGTTTTCTACTAGATTGGTTGTTTCCTCAATTTAGAGATTGTAGTTAGAGCCTTTCTTGCTCGTGCAATATCTATCCATGAGGCATTTCCTGTTTGTGATTTTGATTTGTTGGATTATGATGGCGAATTTTGCAACAGTTTCAAGCATGACATGTATTGTCCGACGTTGTTGTTTCTGCTTATGAGTTTGGTTTTGAAATTTGAGTTTAAATTATAGAGGCTATTGCAGTCATACCCAGTGGGATGCCATCCAGTATAGACTGAAGATGAGTTCAGAGTATTGCCATGGCAAATAATACAAGCAATTATCTCTCCTAACCAAGAGTAACATAGGAACAATATTTTGATATATTTCATATTCACACTTCCTGTAGCATTCTTTTCGTTGCATATGGCGAGTTGGTGCTTTCACATAGATAGATAACATTTGTACGATTACCAAGCTATGTGGTGTAGTGTATATCGAAACCCTCCAACGGTAGTGTGCGTGTATCATTAGTATGGAACTATGAACTGCTTCATCATGAAATAAGTGATTTGAATAATTAGTAGATTACTACTGAGAATCAAACTCATTCTCACACTCCTTAGTCATGACTGGCGTCCTATGTCAATATACAACACCCCTCCTGAAAAGAAAATAGAATTTCTAAATCCAGTATGTTGGGCCCGTGCTCCGCCTAGTAACAAAAGAAACATTGATTTTACTAATTGACAAAAATTAAATATGATGTTTTTAGGCTTTTCTATTTCTTTGTTCTTTTTTCCCTTGCGAATATCTTTCGTGCAATTACTTTGTTGCTTTTATTTCTTTGAAATATAGCTTGATGTATGCATTTTTGTTGCACGTGCTGCTAACGAAAAATTAAATATTACTATGTTATAAAATGATGGAAACTTAGGTCCACCAAACTGTACAGAGAAACCCACAAAACACACACATAATAAGAGATAAGTAAATGACACATCAGGGTTTTACGTGAAAAACCCCCAACTCACGTGATTAAAAACCATGACCTACACTTATAGGATTTCAACTTCACGGTTGAGCAAACTTAATTCAGTTACAAACTATTGGAACCTAGGAATTAAATTCTTAATCCCTCACTCACTTGTAATAACTCTATTACAAGCCTCTTTGTAATAACTCTATTACAAAGCTCACAATCCGACTAACTCTAGCCAAGACACAAACACAAAGTTTATGATTTTACAAATGGTTTCCTATACAATACTTCTAACTAAGCTAAGTAGGAATTACAAGTGGATCGCTCTAACAAAGGTACAACACAACTAAAGACATATGGTAATTCAGTGCTGGAAACTTGTCCTTCGTTTTGTTGTTCTTTGTTCTTGAAGCCTTGAAGTCACTTGCAAGATGGCAATACACTTGAGAGAAAACTAGATCATTCTTTGGATATGCAAGTGTGTGTTTTTCCTTTGCTTCATGTTGATAATATACAAGTGATGTCACTCGGATGATGCAAGCAAATATTCGGTACAAGACATTCCGCATAAAGTAATTATTGCACTGATTGAACTGTTGCGTGTGTGCAGAGGAACAGTTGCAGCGGCTTTACAGTTGTGGGGAGTTGACTGGTACAGTCAGCAAGGGAACTAATATCCATATGTTCCATCTGTCTTTTCTTTTATTCTAGTTGTTAGAACTTGTGCCCGACTTTAGACATGTTGTTCCTTAGCACTTTGAGGATATGTAACAGGTTCCCGATCTGATTGTTATCATAAAGTTTGTTAGATCAACAAAATATAAAAAGGCACATAACTTACCATAAAATAATAAAAGAAGGAGGAGAGTATTGCAGAGAAAAGTAGAGAGAGAATTTTTATTGATTTGGGATGAGTTACAATGTAATAGAACTCTTATACTTATAGGCGAAAAGTGACTTAGTCACAAAGTAACAAACTCTAAAATTTATCTAAAAATTAAAATTCACCATAAATAAAATACTATTTTTAACATTATACAATTTATGAGACAAATATGAGAATGAAGGAATATTGTGAGTGTGTTTGGTACGAAGGAAAATATTTTTTAATTTTCTCATGTTTGGTTGGTTTAAATATTTTGAAAAATATTTTCCTCATTAACTCATTTTCCTCTGATTAGAGAAAAATATTTGGAAAAATTTTTTCAACCTTCTCCACCATAATTGTCATCCCCACCAACCCTCTACACCCCACCCACCTCCTACACCCACCCCTAAGTAAAAATATTATTAAGAGTGCTTTCTTTTTATGTTGTAGATAGAATGCTTTCTTTTTCATTTCAATAAAATAAGTATTTTTTTTATGATATAAAAAAAGTACTCTGTTTTCGTGATGTAGAAAAGTTATTTTCTTTCATTTCAATAAACTGATGTAGTAAAAATATTTTCTTTCATTTTAACAAAATGTGAATTTTCTTTTTATGATGTAAAAAAAGTATTTTCTTTCATTTCAATAAAATAAGTATTTTCTTTTCATGACATAGAAAAAGTAGTTTCTTTTTCAACAAAAAAATATTTTCTTTTTAGTTATGCGGCACAGATTTCAACGTTGTTTTGCGTGAAAAAGTAAAGCAGCACATTAGTTCATCTGGATTTGTGTAAATTTTTAAAAGAATAACTAAATTCTTGAAGAAAATAGAGTCTTGAAAATGTTGGGTATTTGGGATGGGGGAGGGGGAGAGCACATGAAACATGTGGATTTTGGGGAAGAGGGGTGAGGAGAGTGACATAAAGAATTATTTTCTACTCTCTAACCAAATACTAGGGAAAAAGTTTTTAACTCACCAATCAAATAAGGGAAAATAAACCACTCATTTTCCATGAAAAATATTTTCCTTCGTACCAAACACACCCTATGCCATACTTAATAATCTAGTTTTTCAAGTGGCTTGTTATTGAACGTATTCGTTCATTAGTTTTCTTCTATATTTGAATTTGGAGATAAGTTGTCATTAAAGAAGTGATATTCTCATTGAAGGGCTGCAAATAAAAGACTGAAAAAGCAATGGATTTTTATGTTTTGAATTATTTCATTGCGGAGTCCCATACTAAACTTTTTTTTCACTCATAAATAGGTCAACAACAATAACAACAACGACCCAGTATAATCCCACAAGTGGGGTCTGGGGAGGGTAATATGTACGCAGACCTTACCTCTACCCCGAAGGGTAGAAAGGCTGTTTCCAGGAGACCCTCGGCTCAAAAAAGCAATAGGAGATGNCCCTCTACCTCTCCGCGTGCCCACTACAGCCAGTCGCTCACACCTCCTCACCGGTGCATCAGTGTTTCTCCTCTGAATGTGTCCGAACCATCTGAGTCTTACTTCCCGCATCTTGTCATTCATGGGGGCCACACCCACCTTCCCTCGAATATCTTCATTCCTAATCTTATCCATCCTTGTATGCCCGCACATCCACCTCAACATCCTCATCTCTGCTACTTTCATCTTCTGGATGTGTGAGTTCTTTAACGGCCAACATTCAGTTTCATACGACATGGCAGGCCTAACCACTGCTCATAAATAGGTCATATTCTTCATTTTTGTTTAATTTCCCTTCCCTCCTTTTTGCTTGACTTTCCACTCATACTCATTTGTTCCACAAGGATATCTTGCGAATCATCTTGTAAACGCTAGATAAGACTTACTCGTAACAAGAAGAATTGTGAATGGCATAAAGACTTGTTTAATACAACAAAAAAGTTATTTGACATTCCCGTTTTACTATTACTATTACTTTACTACTATATATAAATGTGAAGGAAAGGACGAACACAGCTGTTTGAAATTGTACGTTCTGCATTATATGTATATATACACTTTTAAATTGAACAACTCAATAGGGATAGACTTGCTCTATTTTACTTTTACTTTTACTACTATATATAAGTGGGAAGGGGTGTACGAACACAGCTATAATCAGCTGTACAAGAAGTTTTGTTAATTGTACTATAGACTTGGACCCTTGAATTTTTGTCTTTCTTCTCTCAACACGTGTACTGGTATGTCTTGAGGAAACCACGCGTATTATGCAAAACAACACTATTTGGGTCTCACTTCTCAGTTTCCTGTCTTCACTGTATCTCCTCTCTCTTTCCTTCTATCCCTTCTCCTCTCTGTAGCTACGTACAGGGAGCACCAATTTGTCGATTATTCTCAATTTTAAACCCTAGATTATTCTCTAAGTTATGTATTTTATTCAATGTTCTAAAGATGCCAATACAAAATTGTGATGAAGCATCACTACTCAAAAGTGGCAAAGGATGTCCTACATCATTCAGAAGTGTCCTCCCTTGAGAAAGGTGAGTGTTTATTGTATTAACTTTGGAGGTACTGAATCACTAATTATAACTTTATGCACAATATTGATTTTGCTTTTTCCCTCTTTCTCTTTTTTTTTTCTCACTATTTTAAATCAAAGTGAATATAGAAATGTTAGATGATTTAATGATAGATTTCTAGTCTTTTTTGCAGGATGTCTCTCATAGTTGGCTTGGCTTGATTCCGTCGGCATTCCATAGTTTGCGGTGATATTCCTTTACTTTTGTACCTATTTAAGGTCTCCTATTCTTCCTCTTTTAATTAATATGCATGTGATTTTTTTTTCAAAGTCATGAATATCGGTGCTATTGTTGTTGGTTGATTGTTTTCTAATAAGTTTTCTATTGCGGTATATAATTAATTTCCCGGATCAAATAAAGGTGAATAACTTTTTTTTTGGTTAGATCGAATTTGGGGATGGAAAGAAAACTTGGTTTTATTACCTGAATATATCCTGGAATTATCTAATTAGTTCGTCACTTGACCGCTCCTTTTTTTTTTTTTTTTTTTTTTTTTTTTTTTTGGTTATATTGGAAACGTTGCCTTAATGATTTGAATTAAAATAAAAGGAAAAAGATGCTTGTACACACATTACATTTGCTAACTCATGAATTGATTAGTAGCTGCTTCGATGAAGCTATTCTGTATTCATTCAATTTCACTATTATTTCACAAATTTCTTATCATTCAGATGTAATCTAAGCATTTTTGCGAGTCAATGTTGCGAATGATGTTATTTGTTACTATAAAGGTAGCATCTTGTGGGTGTTACGTACGCATGAAGTGACGAGAGTCCGTACGTAGCTACGGCATATTTATGTCTGGTAGACTTAAGACTTTATCGTGTAATATTTGAATTATTTGAACTCATTCTGCTGGCTTAACTAATTAGAATTATAATTGAAATTGATTTAGAAATACTTATATATTATGCCGAGTCTTATCCCATTGAGTTGTTGGCAAAATTATTTGAAAAACGGTGAAGGTTATATTCACTTTATGCTCATGTACTGTGCTATAAGCACGTGTCTCGTAATTAGATGATTTTCCTCCTTTCTTCTGGAACGGGCCAAATGCCTCGGCAGTATAATAGATGCATTTATGGTTCGTGCCGCTCGACCCTCGGCACATTATTCTGGATCGGGCCGAACGACCTCGGTATAATCGTACGTTATATCGCTGGAAGTCCGAATATTCATGAGATTATCTTTCCACTGACGTTTATGGTTTTCCTTATTCATTTGATACTTACACTTGACATTTTCCGAGATGTTGAGATAGGATACGAATTGAGAAGTTATATTGTTAAAAGAAATTTTAAAAGAATATTTTGGCTACGGTTTTATCCCATTATTGCTGTTGTGCTTCACACCTGCTTAAGATTTATCATATTATTTTATTGGACCTCTAGTAAATGTCGATGTCGACCCCTCGTCACTACTTTTTCGGGACTAGGCTAGATACTTACTGGGTACATGTTGATTTATGTACTCATGCTGCACTTTTGCACTAAATGTGTATGATCTGGCAGGTTTATTTGGTGGTCACCTTGGCGCGTAGGCGCAACTGTTGAGGGGACTTCATGGTGATATGCAAATTCCAGGCTACGTATCGCAGCCCTCAGAGTCTTCATCGTATTACTTACTTTATCCTGTCTTATTTACATTTCAGACATATGTTGTATTATTATTGTATGCCTTACTAAATGCTCATGCACTTGTGACACCGGGTTCTGGGATATTCTAGTTCTAAAATAATCACACTATTTATTCCAAAATTGTACGAGGATTTGTTAGATCGATCTTAAGTCTAAACTTGGATATTAATTTACTCTTGAAAATTGTAAATCTATAGAATTCGCGAAAAAAATAATACTAACTATAATTTTTAAATGAGAAAAAAAAGGGCTTCGCCAAATAAAATAAAATAAAGCATTTCATTCGCAGAACTATTAGTATGAATATAATGTTCAACTTAAACTAGTAAGTTCAAGCAATCACATGCTTTAAAATATACAACAATTTTTAAAATCATAATAAAGAAGAACTGATACTCATTAAACTCACTAAAAACAGATTCGGTTAAACAAACTGAATCATGATTGTTAACTCATTAAATACTAGTTAGGATAAACAAAATGGGAGGACAGTATTCCACAAGTTAATTAACGAATTTTGCTCTTTCAATTGCCTAACATATATTTAAATGAAAGCCAGAAAAAGATACATTTAAAAACATAGCTTTTCCTAGGGAACAAAATAAATGATTTTGTTCTTACACATCTTTTTGTCCTTCAAGCTTATGTTGTTGTTTCTAAACTCTAAAGTATCCTATAAATAAGATGAAATCCATAATTAAGATTTCTAGCAGTCAAAAAAATAATGAAGTCGATAATAAATATCTTAAGAAGAAAATCATTTTCTACCACAAAATGGGATTGGGATTTTTACTGCCTTAAAAGTATACTCAAATTCGAGGGCCAGTAGTACCCAAAGAACTATATAACAAAGCACTTAAAATCTATCAAAAGGTACAATTGTGAGTACACGATACCTTCAAGATCATTTTAACAACAATATTCAAAATCCTGATGATAAAGTGTCTGCTGAATAGCAGGGTGACACATTAGAATCATAAAATCTTGTAGGTCTGTGCTGCCAGAGTATTAGAAAGTATGTTTCTCCACCACTATATAGCTGCTGGTAAATAGGAAGCCATATATGACTGACCCATGGTTCAGGAAAAAGACCGACCAGCACATCATTGCCTAGATGAAGAAGCAAAGCAAATTAAGGAAGATTCAGATTTGCACAGATGCCAGAGAATCATAAAAAACCCAAAGTTTGCCTACAAAAAGCAAATAGTAGAACGACTTGTGAAAATGCAAGAAATACATAGGAGAAAGTAAAAGATTCATTTATTGTCAGTTTGATATATGAAAAGATGTTACTGCGTCTCATCAATCTGGTTGTTATCTTTAGAGCAATGCTCCCACAATGTACCAATATAAATGAACATGATAATGACATCCACGATAAAGGGTGGTAACAGGAGTCTGGAGAATCATGAATCAAGAATTAAAAGAGATACTACAATGAGAGGGTCATTTCACAAAAAGTGACATCTATCTGTAAAGTGTCTCCCACAAACTGTATTCAGATTTTCAAATAACTTGTATCAACGAATGCTAAATCTGCCACTTGTTGATGGCTGAAGTTGGTGAAACAATAATGGAGACTCCGAAGAGACGAGTCGTGTTTTGGGGATTTGGTGGTCCATTGCAACAGGCTAACAACTTTTCATCAGGAAGAAAGTTGTTAGCTTGTTGCGACAGGCTAAGAATTTAATTTCTATGAATTTGTGAAACTAAGATGGTTTGGGAACAGAATGGTTATTCGCTTGTGACCAGACTGGAAAAGCCATTGACTGACACTTTCATCAGCTCAAGCAGCTGGACTTGCCTGGCTTTTCAGAGATAGCTCAAAGAACTCATGTCCAATTTAATTCCATTACAAAAGTCTCCACAGCAAGACAAAGTCCTAGAAAATCAAAGATCAACCAGGAAACCGAAGGATCAAGGAAAATTATGCAAAAATTACAACCTGACTTTCAGTCATATTGGAAAGATACCGAACCATCCTAAGTTTCAAGATCGAGTGAGAGAATGAAAGCAGAACATTAACTTCTTCTGTTCATCACACATCCTAAGTTTGTTCATTTTCGTTAGCAGAACATTAACTTCTTTTGTTTGTCATGCCTCTTAAGTTTGTTCAGTTCCCACATCTGAATTGCGATGGAAATCGTTCCGGAAGTCCAAAGATTGATTCACAGAGTGCAGAAAGGAACTAGGGAACTAGTGCAACAGAACGTCACTAGCATATCAACTTTTCCACTCTTTGAGTACAGATATTGTAGCAACTATTACTTCCATTTCAGTGACTACATTGGGTGCATAATACCAAACCTGAAAGGGTGAAAGAGTGGGATCCCTTGATATGGGCCTATTTACTTGTCCAAGTTTATGCAGAGACAAAAAAACACTAGGTGATTTATTCTCATTTGCCTGATCCTTGGTATGAGAATTACCCGGTACCTATGCTGGTGGGAGGTAGCAGGTACGCAATGGATCAGTTGAGGTGCGCAAGATGGCTTGGATACTGATATTCTCACAATGGGCATATTTATTATGTTAATAACAGGGGATTTGTTAACTCAAACAAGGATATTAAGGAGGTAGAACCATGTTTTGCTGTCAAATTATCCTCGTAGACTCGTGTACTTACAATAGTTATTATGGGCTTCTAAACTTTCAAACACTTGAGGCTAAAATTTTTAAAGCTTGCACAATTTAATAGATGCCCAAAAGATTAAGCCTTTCATACCTCTTTAAAGATTTATTTTGAAGTAGGGAAAAGGTAATCACTTATCTCTAATTGCTTAAGGTTTCATGACAATTAAGGTTTCATGAAGCACAACAAAAATTCTAATGGAGTATAACTAATCCCCGAAAAAGGGAGAATTTATAGACTAGCAAAGGCACAGAAAATAAAGAAATACTTCTGCTACAAGCAATATATCAAAAAAGCTTTGAAAAATGGCGAGAATAAGATGCATACCATTGGATAATGGAGCCAAAAAGGAAATGCTGCATGATAGGAACCTTCTGCAAAACTTCTATCTTATACATCTTAAGCAAGCCACTGTTTACCTTGTTCCAATTGGGCACACCACTAATGTCATCTAACATAGGAGAATGCTCTGCAAACACTCCCTTCTTCACCTTCTTTATGAATATAATACATGAGAGATACAAATATTCATTTGCAAAGTTCTCCTAGATATCTTCGTTATGAATAGATTTTGGTTTCATGTACTTGTGATCAATCAACTGAGATGACCCGAATATAAAAGGTAAAAAGTGGTAGTCATCTAGTCCCCAAACACCATGGGACCCAGCAGGCTCTAGGCAATAGGTTGTTTGCAATTTCCTCATCAACTCCAAGTACTTGACAAAAACCCTTGACACCAGAGCTTGATAGTCCTCTTCTTTCACAACTCCTAATCTTGCTAAACAGTACAACCATGCTGCAAAATTTGTCTCATGCCCAGTACCTGCATAACAGAAGTTATTAGTTCTAGGAAGGCCATCTGTCAAACCCCAGCAAGCCTGTGCACTTCAAGGTTCTAAAGGATAGTAACAACGCATACAATTCTATACCATGTTCCAGCAAAGTGAGAACTCAAATCAAAGGAGTAGCAAATTTCTTTAAATAGATTTATAAGGACAAAGCCATTTTCATGTATATATACTTGGTACATCAAGAAAAGGAATCAGATGCTGAAGATAGAACATTATGTTGTCCGTCAAATACTGTAATTAAATCATCAAGACAGAAAACAAAAGTTTCATGGTCAATCACTAAATATAAACACAAAAATGCAGATGTGCCTATAAGCAGGGGCAGATCCACTACCGTTTCCCATAGGGGACAAGCTTTAGAAGTTGTTCACTTTTAAACTCACGATCATGATTAAACTTATTTTACGCTAAAGCATATGTTGATGTACTTTACATCCACCAACACTATCCCACAGGAAGATGAGTGAACACTACGAAAAGATTGCTACGGGCAAAGACATTAAAGATTCAACTCAGATATATAGAGGCAACATCAATATTTAATACCTCATGTATTATACCATTCTTTTAACACGTACTTTATGTATTATGATTGTTAAATCACACATCTTCTTTTTAATAAAGTAAATAATTTTGTTACTATGGGACAGCGCGCCTTTACAAGGATTTTTATGTTATCATCATATAACTCCACAAGAAAAAGATCACTGAATCATACATTACTCACCAACATTAACACTTTATGAATAACCTAACACCAAAGCGCACCTAACTTAGTACTATTAATCACATTTCACATTTCTCCAATTGTTTAACAAGAAAAACTTCTTCCCTCTGATTATGCAAAGAAAAACAACAAAACTCCAAAAAAAATCAGTTAATAACACATAGTTAATTCTGCCTACGTGAGCTTCTCAAGAGCGGATAAAGGAAAGGGCTGCTAAAGTTGACAACAGCACAACTACACCTAAATACCAAACAAGTCGGGTCGGCTATACGAATCGTTACGGACCATGTTACTCCATTTAAACTCATCTTATGCCAATATTAAGCAAATACACATAAAAGTATTTTAAGTTCTGTATATTTTCTAAATCGTATAAATCTTGAAAACGGCTAGTATAAGTTGACAGCTAGTACAAAAACATACAGAGGATTAACATGGCCGAGCCCAAAAAATTTGGCATTGAGGTTAATCCATTAATAACATCACAATGTCAAAAAACATACCATAGTCAATTCTGCTGGAGTTCCCAAAGCTATCAGTAAAGTAAGGAACAAGCTCAACAGTAGCAGAATGGAGATCGGTAGGCAGGAATTGAAGCATGAATGACTCAGCATCACAGCTCATGTGCTCGTGCCACGTACGGTAGGCCAAGTTTCCGTATCGAGAGGTCTGAAGCGCTAAAGGAATCTCATCCACGTAGGCAATTAGGGTTTGGAGAACGGAAACAATGGCTGAAACTGGAGGAGACACGTGGCAAGGATCGGAGAGCTTGTGGGAACGAACGGACTCGGAGAGTGAAACGATAAAGCCAAGGAAGTTATGGCAAGTGGGAGAGGAGTGGAACTGATCGATGTCGCTTTGGGAGTGGATTTTTTTGGTTGGGGTTTGGAAATGAAAAGGGGGAGTTAGGGGAATGATTCGCTGTGATTGAGGAACAGGGGTTCGGATGATGATTTCTCTGTTATTGGCTGGTGGAAGGTTGACGGCCGGAGCGCGAATGGGGATGTAGTTGGGGTTGGGATCAGGCGGCGGTGTAGGGAACGCGGTGGGTCCGCCACAGTTGACGCAGGTTCCTGCGCCGTCGTGGTGGTGGTGAAAGGGGGTGGAGGTGTTGGGAGGAGGGTTGTGGTCTGGTTCCATTTTGAGAAATGGAAGGGAAGAGGAAACAATGGAGTTGTGTGAACAGAGAGAGAAGATGAGTAAGATTTTCCTACTGTAACAATGGAAGAGAAACGATTCTAAAATTTTGCTTTCGAAAAAGAATGAAGAAAGGCCTAGGTAGAGCGAGGCTAGATTCAGTTTTAATGATCTTTTTGTTTATTTATTTTGCACTCTATTTCAAATTGCTCAATTTTGCATTCATATCCTTGCCGCAAATATTATCATCTCCGTTATATATTATAAAATAAATGAACTTCTACTGTCCAAATTCTTCGACCAAAAAATTTACCTCTCAACTATTGTAATTTTTGTGATTATTTCTATTTTGTGAAATTCCTCTTAATAAACCCGTAATATAAATATGATTTAAAACTACCCTCGAGTTGAATCATGTTAGAAGTCAAAGGCCAAAATGAGATTTTATTCTAACAACGGGATTATTAATTAAACCGTTCAACATTTTAGTAAAATGCAAAGTTGCTCTTTTTGAATAATGCAAAACTAAATTTGACCATTTTTCCTTCCAGAGAAAAGATAGCTAAATTAATCAAATAATCTATAAAAGTTAAAGTTTTTGGCCAATATTGTCCCTTATCTTTGAGGGTGCGTCTATTTTGGTCCCTCAAATATAACCCTGAGCATATTTATAAACCAACACTCACTAATAGTACATAGCTGATAAATTTAAGATTTTAATGTTGAAACTTTTACTTTTAAGATTTTCGGTTGATTTTTTCAAAAAGAAAAGTTATTGAAAAAAAATAGAGCTGTCAAGATCACTTCTAGGCACATTATTGAAGCAAACAAATAACCAGATTGTATTATAACTTTTAGCCTGTACGAGAAACTATTTACATCTGGTAACCGAAAAAGTATATAAAATTTATATAATTTTTATATATATATATATAAAATAATATACAAATTTTATACATTTTTCGGTTATTATTTTTACATCGGCTATACAATGTCATTTTCTCATTGAAAACTAGCACAGTAGGGGATATTTTCAAGGTCAAAATTTTAGAAGACATTATCTAAAATGAGGAATTAAAGTGATAATTTGCGTTATACAATAAAAGGAGAGTGAAACGTTTTGCTTCAGAGCAGAAGATTTGCTTCATGAATCAGAGTTGGTTAACACCGTTAGTTTTTTAACACATTCTGTCAGTGAGACTAAAGGTGCTCCACTTTAGCATACTTAAGGGATTAAATATGCTCAGAATTATATTTGAGGGACCAAAACAGACATATCCTCAAAGATAAGGGACAATATTGATAAAAACTCTATAAAAGTTCAAACTACATAAAAAAAAGTGTAACACTATCATAAATAACAAAAATATGAACATGTAGCCTTGGCGTAAGAATAAAGCAGGAATATCTAAGCTTCCTCTAAGGACTCAAATGATGATGCACTTTTAGCTTATCATTCTTGCTTCTTCAATACACATATTTTATCACTTGATTAGACAAAATATTCCATAAAAAATACCTTCACATGTTTTATTGGGTGAAATTACATCCCCAAAATTTACTTTAAAAATCAAACACATCCTCCAACTTTGAACAATAGTCGTTTTCATCCTCATATTAAAGTTAACTTTTTAAAATGCTTGTTTTACCCTCTACAACGTTTATCTCTTTTTGTGATACTATTTTTATTTTAATCTATGTTATGAACTTACCTATTATAAATAAATATTACTCCATTTTTTAAACCAAAAAAAGAGTGTGAAGTACTAATCAAGCATAATGACATTCAATAATAAGAAAATCAGTATATCATTAGTCAAATCATCATCCAACTGAACCGTGCTGAAATCCAAAACATGAGACGGACCCCCAAGATACTTCCGGAGCATAGAAACATGAAATACCGGATGCACACTCGACAAGATGGGTGGCAAAACAAGCTCATAAGCCACCTCCCCAATCCTCTGAAGCACCTCAAAAGGCCCAATGATATATGCATGCACACGCAATACACGTGATATTGAGATAGTAATCGTAAAAGTAAATTTATAATATGATTATTCTATTTATAATGTCAATGAACTAAAAAATAATAAATATAATAAAAAATTATTACATATATGGAAAATTAAAACAATCAAGGGTAAAATAGACAATGAGGTAGAATAGAAGGATGAGAATGATTATTGTTCAGAGTTGGGGGATGAATTTGATTTTTAAAGCAAACTTGAGATTTGGTAATGATATTAACAGGAACTCCAATTGATACTGACAGGATCATATATTGTGGTCAGGGAGGCTGTTACAAGAATATTTCCCTCCGGCATGCTATAAGAGAATCCTTGTTTTAACTTCACAAGTTTAACGTAACACACACACACACATAGTTGAATTACAAACTTGGGTTGCAGTAAAAAGTAGAACTGCGATCATGGTTTCACTCACTAAAGGACATAAATCATAACTTCGAGTCATCAACCAATGTTGCTAGAATGACACAGATGATCAATCATCAGCTTCTCGCGAAAAAGCAAAAAAAATAAAACAGGGGTGAAATGGAGGAACATACACTCGTTGAACTTCTGCTTCAGCAATACTAATTCAGACAGAATTTGGTGCTCATTAAGTTTTAGGCACATCAACTCGTCGAGTTATCAACAAAGGCAACTCCATAGAACTCATTTTTAAATACCTTGTAAGCAGGCACCCCACTCTACCCCAAAAAGGAAAAAAAAAATGTGATCTACTGTGCTGGAGGAGCAAGTTGTCTCAATTTAGCTTGCAAGATAACACCAGTTTCATCAGCAATACTTTTCTTCTTCGTTGCAACCTGCAATTTGTACGAATGATTACTAAAAGAAGGTAATGTCCATAAGAAATAAAAATCATAATAAGGCTGTTTGTTATCAGACTATAAACCTCAAGGAACTCCTCCCAACATCAGCCACATAACTTTTTCAAAGGATAGAAAGACTCTACTACTAGTATAGATTCTTTGATCTTGCAAGAGGAAAAAAGAGAGTTATATGTTGGTCTTTGGCCTTCAGACCAAAATAGAGAAATTGTAGTTATGCATGACGAAGAATTCCAAACATGGGTTGACTCCCAAAAGAGTGGGGTCATCTTCAACAAGAAGAGAACTCAAGAGTTGAGTACATACATGATACATCCATATGGGGACTGTTAGCCTACACCACATTAGCAAAGTTAAAGACTTTACCTATATTTCCCTAGAAACTTGAATGCTCTCATTTTAATGACAAGTCAACAGTACTCCTCGCCCGAAATTTTACAAGGCTGAAATCAACTGATCAGCCAAAACCTCTTTGGGACTAACAAGCAAATTGAGATTGTCATTCTCTAATCTTTATCAGTCCAAAAGTGGTAAATATGTCACCTCTACCAGCTCACAAGAGTTTAGCATTCCTTCCAAGTATATGCCGAAGCAATCCTCAAGCTGGATAAAGACTGAGTGGGAGATACATTCAAATAGACCAGTGTTTTCTTCTACTTCTTTTGTTCAATTAGGTTCACTCCAGCTGCTATGGTTAATTGTTCCCTTAAAGTGATGAAGCAAGGGGAGGCGAGCAGGTGGCGCTTCTTGGGTGTGAAGCGAAGCGACTTCAATGAAGCAGTCGCTAAGTGAGAAGCAGAGGAAGCGATTCGGGTTTTCTTTTTAAAGAGCCAAATTTCCTTTAAGAAAAAAAGATTATCTTTTTAGAAGAAAAAAGAAAGTAGGGGACCTATTTAAAAAGAAAAAAGAAACTTGAAGATATTGCTGAGAAAAGAGACTTAATCTATTCCATTCCATCGCTGCTAGAGTTAGTAATTGGCTCCAGGTAATTTTTCTCCTTCTTCTCCTTCTTCTATCTTCTTTCTTCTTCCGGCAGCTGCGTTTGCTTCTCCTTCTTCTTTTGTTCAATTTCATTCGCTCCAGTTGCTACGGTTCTTGTCCCCTTCTTTCTTTGTTTTAAAGCTATTTTTTTGTTCTTTCTCTGTTTCTTTATTGATTCTTTCTCTGTTTTTTTCCTGTTCTGTTAATCTTTTGTTTTATCATAAGAAATCAGCTTATAACTTGAAAGATTTGCCTATACGTATTTGACATTCTACTTTTTAGTTTTTAAATTGAAAGATCTGCTAATACATACTTCCTCCATCCCAATTTATGTGATGGAGTTTGACTGGGCACAAAGTTTAAGAAAGAAAAGAAAACTATTGAAACTTGTGGTCCAAAATGAGCCATAGGTATTTGTGTGGCTATAAATCATCTCAACTTAAAATAAACATTTAGGGGTCGTTTGGTTGGAATACGATTTATACCGGTATAAGTTATGCCGGTATAAGTTATATTGGGATAAGTTATGCTGGGATTGTTGTTTATTCATTGTTTGGTATGTTGTATTAAGAATGACAATTACATAATTTCTGAGAAGAAGGTATAAGTTATACCGGTGCTAATTACCCCACCTTCTATAAGGTATAAGTTATGCCGGTATAAGTTATATTGGGATAAGTTATGCTGGGATTGTTGTTTATTCATTGTTTGGTATGTTGTATTAAGAATGACAATTACATAATTTCTGAGAAGAAGGTATAAGTTATACCGGTGCTAATTACCCCACCTTCTATAAGGTATAAGTTATGCCGGTATAAGTTATATTGGGATAAGTTATGCTGGGATTGTTGTTTATTCATTGTTTGGTATGTTGTATTAAGAATGACAATTACATAATTTCTGAGAAGAAGGTATAAGTTATACCGGTGCTAATTACCCCACCTTCTATAAGGTATAAGTTATCCCAGTGTTAAAATTAACACCGGGATAACTTATACCTGCTTTGCTAACCAAACAGAGTATTAAGATGGTATTAAATTGTTATACTACCCTTATACCTTCTTATACCTCATACCTAACGACCCCTTAATGTTAAATTGTACTAAATATAGAAAGGTGACATTCTTTTCGGGACTAACTAAAAAGTTATTTCGCATTTTTTCAAAAATGTGCACTTCGCTTCTCGCTTTAAGCGAAGTGGGCCTTTGTCGTTATTTTGTGCTTTATGCTCACCAAAACATTGAGATAGAACCATAGAGGAAACTACCGGATGAAGAAGTACCAAGTATTTTCATGGTGACTGATAAGGTTAGATTTAACTTCTCTTTCTCGTGTTTTGGCACAACTACCCTTGTCATGTGTTGAGATGAGTCATGAGAAAAATGTGTGAAGTATCTTCAGACTTACTCTACTATCCCTAGGTCATTCAACTTCATTGCAAACATGAGAAGAATGAACTTCCACTTTAATTAATATTGAGTAGTTCAATTTGTTTAATCTTAAATTTTTTTGAGAATGGTAACAAATTTTATTCATCAGCACAAAGATTATGCTGGCAACAGTATTTACAAGGTACTATCCTTGTGAACTTTACAAGGCTTCCAAAAATTGTAGAATAGATTCTGCATCTCCTACAGAAAACTGTTTACACCAAAAGTGAAAATTTAAAATACAATTCATTTTAACTACTTGTATGGAGCTACTCCTGTCTTCAAAACATCCGTTATTTCTTTACTTTCATATGGTCCACCAGATGCAAGCTGGGATAATCCTCCACCATTTTTTCTGACTGACCATTTTACCAGCATAGTTCCAAGCTTTCAGTAGATCACATGTGTTTCCCGGCATTATCCATTTCAAATTTACCAGCATGTGTTTAATCTTAACTTTTAATCAGGTGAAGAGTGTTCAGGTGATACCATGTCTCAATTAATTCCTACTTCCTAATGTGAAGCTAAGCAAGAGCATAGGAAATGCAAGGAAATTATAGAAGTAGAGGAGTGGTCAGTTGCAGGAAGAATGAGAAAGGGAAGGGCATGGAAAGGATAAGAACAGGGAAGCAGTAGATAGGAAGAAAGAAGGAGAACATTGACATCACAACAAGGGGAAAATCTTGAATTCGAGCTGGTGGCACATATAGAACGGAAGAACCTGAAGAGTCAGAGGTATAGAATATAAAGTAATTGAATCATATAAGGGAATATAGAAATGCGATTCACGCTAATGGTAGGCCAGATGAAGCAAGGATGAAAATTTTGAGTTCAATGATGATTCCTCATGTCTAGGTTTAAAACTTTTCAAATAGACCTTTCAAAGTAAGGAAAGTACAATAATGGGAAGTTGAAAAAATAGATAGGAGGCCGTTCGCACCACTATTAGGTCAGTCTTAAAACCTGGATTATTAAAATTTTAGCACAGCGTAGTCACATAGATCCATGTCATGGTTTAACTTGGAGAAGTTGCATAAGCAGGTGTGGCTGCAGCCTGGAAATTAGAGTAAGACTATGCGTGGTTAGTGGAATCGGAGCTTGTGGGTATCCCAAGAAATCAGGAATTAGGTGGGATTTATACTTGAAGATAACTGGTTTATCTTCCAGGATGACTTATGTGCCATTAAATACATTTGGAACTATTTTCAATTTTATTTTGTGTTTAACAATAGCTTTGTAAAGTCATAATTCTGATAGAGAATGAAACAGGTTTCTCAATGACCTATTTTTGAAGAAATTTGTAAAAACATTAAGGGGAAAACTTCAGACAATCTCCACCACTCTACTCTCAAAACCAAAATGCAGGTGGAAATGATAAAATTGTGAGAAGGTACAACAGAATGGCAAATTAACCATTACATCCTCCTAAATGATGATATCTGTCCCACAGAGTGGAAAAAACCCTATGAAGTCCAAATGAAAAGTGAGTAGTCCTGCAATGCAAGCTTTTTCAACATGGGGTAAATAGCTTTCCAAGCTATCTTTTCCGGGATAAGGAGGAGAAAGACAATAAATTCTTTTTTATAGTGTTGGTGTCTGCGCTAACTTGCCTTACCTTGACTATTACATCGGGTACCTGCTACCTCCAATAAACATAGGTACGGAGTAATTCTACCAACCAAGGCTTAGGCAGATGGAAAGAAATTACTGTATGTTTTTTTGTCTCTCGAATTTGAACCTGGGTGTCCAGGGTTTGCACCAACTTTATAGACCACTAGGTCCACACCCTTGGGTGCAAGAAAAAAAACTTTCTAAACCACTTTCTATTGACCGAGAAAAGGCTACTGAATACTCATAAACCTTCTTGCAGATACTAAATGTCCAATTTTTTTTTTGAACTCTTCTTGTGACAAAAAATAAGCATATGCCAGTAACCATTAACCATGCTGTTCGGATGATCATCCGTGTGTGTGGGTGTTTATAGGGCCTTTATATTGGCAGAGGCCATTTGATGTCCTCTAAAACCAACTTCTTGTACATTGCGATAAGCGTACATGTCCGAGAACTCTTTGAAACCCTTTAAAGCAATATTTTCCCCTTACTTTTCCTCCCACCAATCGCACCGAGTATAGAAGTTTAGCTTACATTAGATAGATTAATAAGTCAATATCTCACTAATCAAAGAATGGCAGAAGTATCAGGTAGGATTGAGATAGATGGGGTACTCAGTACACCAATAATGAAACCCTTGAGAAGGTTTCCAGCATGTAGATTTTACATCAAATCATAACACAGATAACCTGATATAAACAGCTCAAAACTTGCAAGAATCCATCAACTGAAATATAATGGGTACTTACATCAAGAAGCTGCTCGTAGTTGGACTTTAGCAGGTTGATTTTCCGCTCACAGTAATCTTTTCCTTCTGTCATAGTTTTCTGTTAAAACAAAGAAAGAAAACAATCTTAGGGCTTGAACCTTCTGGAAATAGGACCATGTGAAAAGATGATACATTTTTTTGGGCTTCCCATAAATGAAATAACTGAAGCATGAAATGACAAATGTGTTCTTTTCGATAATGATCCAACGACATTCCCATAGATTCGTAAGACATCACCACTTTATTTCTTGAAAAAGCAAAAAGTAAATGGATGATCCAGGAACTACATATAACAACATTCTAGATGCATGAAAGAGACATTTCTAAAGAGAAAATTAACTTACTTAGACTCTATAAAGTTCAGAAAAATCTAGAGTAAACAACAAATTATCCAAGCCTAAGAAAGCCGAGTAACTAGAAATCATAGAAGGAATCCACAAGACTTCCTTTTCATTTTATACAGAGGATCATAAACAGTAAAAGATATTTAGTACATAGAAACAGCGTTATCAAAGGCGAAAAGCGCAAAAAAGCTCTAAAGTATGTTGAGGCCTTAAGCGCAAAGTGCAAAAAAAGCGTAGGCTTTTATGAGAAAAGGCGCTAATGGAGAAAAATTACAAACATATGTGTAGTCCAAGATTAACATCTATAAGCATGAATACCAAATATATGGATAAAGAAATTAAAGAAAATTTACAATAAAGTGAAATATCAATTGTTTAGTGTCGCCTCTTCAAAATTACGCTCATTGGCAAGGAAAAGTATGCCTTAGAGCCTTGATGAGAATACTGAAGCGCGCGCTAAGCGAGGCGAAGACCTCAACATGTTTTGAGCCTCGCTTCAGGGCTTAAGCGCGCTTTAAGCGCAACTTTGATAACACTGCATAGAAAAAAAATTCTGAAAATCATAACTATGTTGCTTCCAGCATATATTGCAACGGAATCCATTTTTTATAAGGATATTGTAATGAAATCCATTACACTTTCCTGGAAATCAATAATGAACTCCTAAGAAACAAGGAAAAGGAAAACTGAAAAAGAAAGTATGCCAAAAGCGACACAGAATTGAGCACGGTCTCATGTTCCTCACAAAAATCCAAATCAAGTATCAGTCACAACTCTTCAAGAATTCAAATTCATTAAACTTTTCAATTTATAAGCTCCTGATATATTTTTTTAATCAAACTAACTTCTCAACAACTGCGTTACTTTCTTCCACTACATTAATATAATTCATATCAAATTAACTCCTTAAATTCTTAGGAAAATCAAACACAGCCACATAACATGAGACTGTGATATAAGAAATAACCACACACACGACAAAAAAGGAAGTCATCTTTAGTTTTAGTTGCATACTACAGAAGCATCTGCCTAAGCTCACCCCATCCTACTGCAGCCCCAGGAAAAAACCATTAACACCAGCCACCCACCACAAACACCCAAAAAAACATAATTCTAGATTAAAGACAGCAACTTTATTGACTCAATTAGCAGAAATAGACAGCAAGTCAAATACCCCAATTACATATGCGCCAAAAAAAAAAAAAATAAAAACCTCA